AAAGACGGAAGTTCTCAAGGATTTCATTCTACTTGGATCCTATAGGAGAAGCAATCAGAAAATCACTGTATTGCGTTAGGCACATCTGCTGCAAAAGACTGTTTTTAAAGTGTTAAAAAGTTAAGATGTCAGCTTGAAGACTAAAGTATGCCTGATCCAAGTTATGGTATTTTCAATCATCTCATATGCATAGGAAATTTGGACAATGAATAAGGAAGATGGAAGAAAAATTGATGCCTTTGAATTATGCTGTTGACAAAGAATATTTAGCATACCAAAGACTTCCAGAAGAACTAACAAATCTGTGTTGGAAGAAATACAGCCAGAATGCTCCTTAGAATTAAGGACTGACTGCGAACTCTTTGTCTCACACCCTTTGGGCATATTATCAAAAAGGCCTGAAGAAGGACGTCATGCTAGATAAAACACAGAGCCAAATACAGAGGAGACCTTCAAGGACACAATGAGCTGAAACACAGGAATGGTTGTGATGATTGTCCAGGACCAGGCAGTGCTTCATTCTGTTGTATACAGGGCTTCTATCAGTCATAAAAGACTGTATGGCATCTAAGAAAAACAACAACCATTTACAAAATTGTTCCTTACTGTTAAGTGCCATCGAGTCAGTTCTGACTCATAGGAACCCTGTATAGTGTTTCTGAGGAGCAACTGGTGGGCTTGAACTGCCAACCTTGTGGTTAGCAGTCCAGTGCTTATCCTACAGTTTCATATCAGAAGTCAGTTTATAATTTATAATTTATAAGTGATCTTAAATTAAGACCTGTTGGATATGACATAGCTTACAAAGTAAAAGTAGACTTTAGCATCAGAGACATCTAGTTAGAATCGTAAGTCTACACCCATCAACCAGCCACCTAGCTGTGCAGATAATACAGAATTTGTTTTTTGTTTTTAAATTCTGGCAGTTTCCTTATCTTTAGAAATATTAGGCTGCTTATCTAAAGGATCCTGGTGTGGCACTGTAGGATATGCACTGGACTGTTTGAGTAAAGTCTAACGTTCAAACCCACCAACGCTCTTTAGAGACCCTCCACAGGGTCACTGTGAGTCAGAATGGATTAATAACACTTAACAATAACATCTGTCAGTAAAGGCTATTCTTACTATTCAATGCATTAACATAGGCAATGCCTTATATAGTGTGTGGCACACAGCAGATGCTCAATAAACATAAACCCTTGCCAATCAAAGATTACCATATTTTTACACAAAGAACACAGGCACTATGCATTTTTTGCATACCATACAGACCCTGTGCATTATTTTCACAAGCATGCTATACCACTATTTTTCAGTATGTTGATGGCCTCAATTTCAATTTGCTTTTTCTGGCCAATATTTTAAATGTTAAGCCTTTGTCTTGGTGCCTGTTGATGTGGAGGTCTGGTTCCCAGCAGCAGACCCTGACCAGCGTAACCATATTTTCTAAAGCATCACCTCTTCTGGCAGGCTTCCTCCCCTGCTCTGCAAACCTCATTCTCCAGTGCAAGAAGAACTTACTTTTTCTGCTCTGAAAACAGCCCTCAGCAGGGTGACTGGTCCCAGCTTAGGAGGTGCACAAGTGCACGTACTTCCGGCAGGAGTGGCCATTCAGATGGCTGAGGCCAACGTGCACTTGCCTTGCTGTTCACCTGGAGCTACAGCGAAGTCTAGTATCTCTCACTCAGAGGAGGCAGGTTCACCTGGCCAACCAAGGATCCCCTTTGGGTCAGAGCAGTGCATACCCATGCCCTCACATGAAGCCAGCGCCACAGGACCCAGGTGTGTAAGGTCAATGTCCCTGGAAGGCACCAGGTCAGCCTATGCTCAGGGCCATGGCAACTCCAGCATGATGTACCTGTACACAAATGGCCTATAAGAAGTCCACCAGAACTGCAGAGTTCCAAATGTTTATTTTCTGTTTAGCAGGGTACCACCAAACGTGGTCTACGATTTCTTGAAAATGGCTTATATCTTTATACAAATATGATCAAAAGTAATGTTTTTAGACTACTGAAAGAGGGTAAATGAGACTGAAGCTCATTTCTGGAAATTTTAGAAGACATTCATGTTAAGTCAGAACTTTCGAAAGCATAATTTTGTCATCTCCATCTGGCATTTGTATATATGCGTTATTTACATGGGCATGCTATTGGCAAAAAAAAAAAAAATACAGTTCCTCTTTATTTGGCTCCAACCAAAATAACCTTGGATTTTTGTGAAGAAAATCTGAGCTTGTACTAACCTCAGGGTTTTTACATTAGCTGTTTCCTATGTAAAGGAATCCTGGTGCCGCACTGTAGGATAAGCACTGGACTGTCAACCACAAGGTTGGCAGCTCAAACCCACCAGCCACTCGTTGGCAACCCTAAACAGGGTTGTTATAAATTGGAATAGACTCAACAGCACTTTACAACAACATGCTTGTAAAGCTCATCCCAACTATCTTTGTAATATCTGCTTCCTTCTTTTCATTTAAGTCTTGGCCAAACATTAGTTTCCATGAATATTCTATGTAAGGAAGATTTTATTTTCCAGAGATGGTTGCAAGAATACTTTCCATCCCACATGCTCTTCTACAAGAGACATCTGTCTAAATGTCCAGCTTTTGAATCTGGGTAGGTTTATAGGACTGCCTCAATCAACAAGCATTTGATGGAGATGTTGCATAACTTCTGAAACTACGTCATAAAAGGATATGCAGACATGAATGTTCACAGCAGCATTATTCAAAATAGCTTGAAAGTAGATACAGCCTAAATGTCAAGCAACTGGTGAATGGACAATCAAAATGTGGTATACCATACAATGGAGTTTAGCTGGCCACAGAAAGGCATGAAGTACTGGTAGTATGCTAAAACACAAATGAACCTCGGAAATATTATGCTAAGTGAGAGAAACAGAACAGAGAAGGCTACATATTATATGATTCCACTTTTACGGAATGTCCACAATAAGTAAATTCATTGACAGTATAAACAGATTAGTGGTTCCCAGGGTCTGGGTGGGTGGGGAGGTGTGTAGTCCTGGTGTGGTGCTGTGGGATAAGCACTGAACCACAAGGTCAGTTTGAAGGCTGGCAGTTCAAACTCACCAGCCGCTCCACGAAAACTCTATACAGAAACCAACTCATTGGCACTTAACAGCAATAAAAACAGTGTCTGAGGGGAGAGTAAATCAGTGTGTGACTGCAAATGGGAATGGAGTTTCTTTTTTGGAGGTGATGAAAATATTCTTGAATTGATGGGGATAGCTGCACAACTGCACAATACTGATTTTACACATTTGTTGTTGTTTAAGTGCTGTCGAGTCGATTCCGACCCATAGCGACCCTGCATAGGGTTTCCAAGGAGCAGCTGGTGAGCTTGAACCGCTGACCTTGCAGTTCAAACGGCTTTGCAGTCTGGTGCATTAACTCACAGCGCCAGCCCAGAACTCCTAATTTTATACATTAAGAGGTATAAATTATCAAAATTTACTATTAAGAATAATAAACATTTTCTGATAGGTTATTAGGTTTACTAAGTTGGGGGAAAATGTGATGTAGCTTCTGCCTTGTTCTCTGGAACATTCATTTTTAAAGTACAGAGTCAGTCTAACTACTCTGAGAAAGTCCAGGCCACAAGGAAGGGCTATGTGCAAGTGCGCCTGCCTTTAGCCCTGAGCTCTGTGAAAACCACAGCTGACAGTTAGCATTGCTGTCATAAATGTGACTGAAGATGATTCCAGATGATTTCAGCCTCCAAGTAGAGCCAGCCCCTAGCCACAGTCTTTCTGGAGCAGGCCCCAAATATTGTGAAGCAGAGATGAGCCACTCCTGCCATCCTCTCTGCATTCCTGACACAGACTCCGTGAAATGATTGTTTCTCCACACTAGGTTTTGGGGTGATCTGATACAGAGGAGCAGTAACTGAACACAGCCTAATGGAGACACCACACCAGACTCTTGTGCTTTTTTCTTTTCTCCTTCACAGCACTTATTTACTATAGAACATTAACTTATTTATATAGAACATTTTAGTCTGTCTCTTTTCATTAGAAATAAGTTGCTGGAGAGCAGGATCCTTTTCTGCATTGTTTCTGTAACCACAATACCAGAATAATACCTAATGTGTAGTTGCTGCTGCTAAGTGAATTGGTTCTCATTAGGGTTTCCGAGGAGTGACTAGTGAGTTTGAACCACCGTCTTTGAGGTTCAAACCGACCTTGTGGTCCAGTCCTTATCTTACAGCACCACACCAGGATATGTAGCTGTTGTTATTAAGTGCTATAAAGTTGGTTCCAACTCACTGTGACCCTATATATGATTTCCAAGGAGTGGCTGGTGAGTTTGAACCACTGTCCTTGCAGTTCAAACAGTCGTTGCGGTTCAGTGCTTTACCCTACAGCACCACACCAGGACTCCAGGATATGTAGGAGATGCACACAAAAAAATGTGTTCAAAAACAAGTTAGTATTCATTAATTAACGGAACCCTCACTGTGGGTAGGCAATCTGGCTGGAGCTTCCTGGATGTGAATTCCAAAATGTAGCTACTGTCATTTCATTAACTTTGCCAGTGGACTGAGTTCCTAAAATGATGTATCAAAGCCCACAATACTATTACATTCAAATAATCATTGCTTCTTTGTTTCTAAGGAAAGTTCAAAGCAGCTTATAAAATTGCAAACATTCTAGTTGAAATTATTCAGTAAGTCTATTTTAACAAATTTTAAAAAATGGACATGACCATAACATACAATCACATATAGCCAAGAAATAAATATGAACTTAATCTGCTTTAACAGTAACTCTGAGCTTACAAAGTTTCTAAGAATTAATTTCTAGATATTCCTACCCCTACAAATCCACATTAAACAAGTGAGAAAAAATATACTGATTCTGGCAGAAATTCAGGCAAAAGTATTAGATAACGCAATTATTTTTAAATGTTTAAATGGTTTACTTTGTAATACATTATACACACATGACTCTTTCCTACGAATGGGACTACTGCCTACCTCTGGTGCCAGATATTCCGGTGTCCCACAGAATGTCTTCATGGTGGCTGCATCTGTGATCCCTTCTTTGCAGAGTCCAAAATCTGTAATTTTTATGTGGCCATCTTTATCCAGCATCAAATTCTCCAACTGTTGTAAGAAAAATGACAAAATGTATTTTATAGTCTCGTGTAGCAGAAAAACACTGTTTTGAAAATGACTGAAGTTTTTTGAAAAGAGGACATAGTCATAGTCAATAAAATTTTTAGTACTTACAAACTGTGTCGCTTCCTTATTTGTGTGAAAAGAAACATATTTTACAATATACTTCCTGATGATAAAATTATTTTTAAGCCAATGGAAAAGAGTGCTGTGCTCTAAGAGCCATTATTGTATAAGCTCTGAAAACTAAACCTTAATCAGTTTTTCAAAGTGAATGTCAATTCTCTTTCTCTTTCTATTCAAAACAGAAATGTGATCTAAACAATCCCAAAGAGATGAGTGAGTATTTTCTTCTAGAAAAATACAGATGGTTTTCCACAATTTCTCTTGGGAATCTATTTCTATTATAAAACATTCACTTACAAAAATGATTTGTAGTGATTGTTATAAATCAAATCTAAAGCTTGTTTTGTAAGGTACAATGATATTCTCTTATGCAGTTCTTTATAATATAGAATTATCTACCTTTTAAAACATAAATAGAAAAATAATATCAAAGGTAAATATTCAAATGTTAATATAAATGCATAACAGAAACACTATAAAGTTAGAATCTCTTTGAATATATTAATCTATAGAAACAAACATATTTTACACCTTTTATTTTTCTGCTAACCAGAATCTAGAAATCCAGCCTAATTTGCAGTCCTAAAAGCAAGCCCTTATTACTACAAACTATCAGACATATCAGGAAAGCGTCTGCCTGCTCCCCTTTTTTCCTATCTATTATTACTTTCTCTTTGCCTTGCTTGGTCTTTTCTTTCCTCAAAATTTCTGATGGCCTCAATTTTTTTTTCCTTTTGTTCCTTTTCCTTAAAATAAAGTCCTCTTCCTCATTCTTTAGAGGACACAATAGGAACATAACTACATACTAGAGAAACTGTTGTTTTGTTGAATAAAAATGTGTAAGCCTTATTCTTAATTTAAAAAAATGTTGACTTTAATATAATAACGTATTTATACTATATAAAGACAAAACTTAATTTTGAAAACATTATGTTCTTTAAAATGTTTAATACATCTCTTATTTAAAATACATAAATATGTCTATAAAATTTTAATTGATACATAGTCTGACTGAATACCATTTGAATGCATGGTATCACTTTATTCCCTCTCATCCAAGCTGATGCACGCTATGCAGGGGAAAGTACTCACAGAAACTTGCTTTCTACTCTTGTTTCTACACATTTTGACAAAGCTATTTTCAAGAGTCCTAATGTGAACTGCAAGGTCAGCAGTTCAAGCTCACCAGCTACTCCTTGGAAACCCCATACAGGGTCACTATGGGCTGGAATTGACTCAACGGCACTTAACAACAACAATGTGGCGTTATAGGATAAGTATAGGGCCTCAAGGTCAGTTTGAACCCTAAGGTCAGCAGTTCAAACTTACCTGCTGCTCCTTGGAAACACTAGACAGGGTTATGAGAACTGACTCAATGACACATAACAATATATATAGATGTATCAAAAGTATAAATAGCCTTTTAAATACAAGCAGTGTATATTAAAAATAAATAAAAACCTGACTCCCACCTAATTTTTCACCTTTATCATTTACCTCTGAGGCTCACTGAAGAGGTATGACAAACAGAGTTAGGTCAAGTCAGAGAGCTCAGCCCTTGTGACCAGGACCTTATTTATTTCTAAGTGCCTCAACTTCATTATCTATAAAACAGGTAAATAAGTAACAATGCCAATCCAATGTGACAGTTATGAAAATTAAATGAGATATTGGATGCAGAATTTAACGCAGAAGCATTTAATAAAAGTAAACTATCCTTACTACTAAGAAGCTCCGTTAGCGTAGTGGTTACGAATTGGGCTGCGAACCTCAAGGTCAGCAGTTCAAAACTACCAGCTGTTCCACGGGAGAAAGATGAGGCTTTCTGCTCCCGTAAAGATTTACAGCCTCGGAAACCCTGTACAGGGTCGCTATGAGTAGGAACCGACTCCACGGCACATAACAACAACAACAACCCTTACTACTATACAGCCCTGGTAACGTTGTGGATTATGAAGTGGGCTGCTAACCTCATGATCAGTAGTTCGAATCTACCAGTCACTCAGTGGGAGAAAGATGAGGCTTTCTGCTCCTATAAAGATTTACAGCCTCGGAAACCGTACATAGGGTTGCTATAGAGTAGGAATCGACTTGGGACACATAACCACCACCATCATTTTTGAAACGTGAAGAGTTTAATGGACAATTCAAAAGCTGTCAAAATATTCTGTGCTCTTCTAGACAATACTGCATTTTAAAGAAAAGAGCAAAGTTCCAGAATGGACCTCTATAAAACAGTTTTGCTAGTTTATTGAATTCATTAAAAAAGACTTCGCAGTATGCAATAATTCTTTCTGAATAAAATAGCCAAACTTGCAAATATTTCATAAATTTAAGGTTGCATATTTCATAAGTGTTTTACATGACACAAATTAATTATTTTGCTTCTCTCATTATCTAAAATGTTATTTGCTGAGCATTTGACAACTTTTCTATCAAAAGTATAAACAAACAGCCAAAGATGCATCACCTTAAGAAAATTATATATGCAAACTTTCTATTCAGCTTCTATAAAGACAAATTGTTGTTGTTGTTGTCAAGTGTCATCAAATAGGATCTGATTCAGTGAACTAGCAAAACTGTTTTATAGAGGTCCATTCTGGAGTCCTGGTGTAGCACTGCGGGTTAATGCACCAGAGTGCAAAGCCATTTGAACTTCAAAGTTGGCAGTTCAAGCTCACCAGCTGCTTCTTGGAAACCCTGTACAGGGTCGCTATGGGTCAGAATCGACTCGACAGCACTTAACAACAACAACATTCTGGAACTTTTATTTTATGTATAGTGACCCTATACAGGGTTTCTGAGGAGCGGCTGGTGGGTTTGAATCACCAACCTTGTGGTCAGCAGTCCAGTGCTTATCCTATAGAATACCAGATAAATTAGAGGCTAACTAAAGCAGATCCATGGGTTTAGACACAGCAATTCATTTGTGGTGAGGGTTGCACCCCGGGGAATGTGGTGCCACGGGATTGTATACTTGAAAGTGGTAAAAAGACAAACTTTTAGGTTGGTATGCGTCACTCTAATTTTTTAAACCTGGAAATTACTTCCTTGCTACATCCAACATTACTATAAAGAATATTTAGTCATATGCTGTAGGAACCCTTGTGCTGTGTAAAGAGGCAAAAAACATTGCAAAAACAATGATGAAGTCAAATGTGTAGTTAAGAGACAAGGCTCTATATTTAAAAAATGGGGAAATGCTTATTAGGAGAATTTTTATCAGTTAGAGGGTTGTGCTTAGCAGTTTATGTTTTTGAAAAGAGAAAAAAAAATTTAGAATAAATATATAATAAATAGAAAAAAATAGAATAAATAAAGCCTCATTGTTATTGTTATTAGGTACCATCGAGTTGGTTTGGACTAACAGTGACCTTCTATACAAGAGAATGAAACACTGCCCAGTCCTGCACTATCTTCACAATTATTGTTAAGCTTGAGCTCATTGCTGCGGCCACTGTACCAATCCAATGAGTTAAGAATTTTCCTCTCTTTCGCTGATCCTCAACCTTACCCTTAGCATGATGTCTTTCTCCAGGGGCTGGTCCCTCCTAATAACCTAAGTAAGAGAGATGAATTTTCACCACCCTGGCTTCTAAGGAGAATTCTGGCTATACTTCTACCAACACAAATTTGTTTGTTATTCTATCTGTCCGTGGTACTTCTAATATTCTTCTCCAATACCATAACTTAAATGCATCAATTCTCCTACTGTCTTATTTTCACATGCATATGAAGCTACTGAAAATACCACAGCTTGGATCAGGCAAACCTTAGTCCTCAAACGGACATCTTTAATCTTGAACACTTTAAAGAGGTCTTGTGCAGCAGCTATGCCTAATGCAGTACATCATTTGATTTCCTGATTGCTGCTTTCATGAGTGTTGATGATGGATCCAAGCAATATGAAGTCTTTGAAATGAAAACTGGAAACTTTTTTCCATTTATCAAGATGTGATATATTGGTCCAGTGGTGAGGATTTTTGTTTTCTTTACATTGAGGTTCAACCCATACTGAAGGCTGTGGTCAATGATCTTCATCAGCAAGTAATTTAAGTCCTCTTCACTTTTAACAAGCAAGGTTGTATCATCTGCATGTGAGCAGGTTGTTAATGAGTCTTCCTTCAATCCTGACATCACATTTTTCTTCATATAATCCAGCTTCTCAGATTATTTGCTCAGTGTACTTACGCAATGTAAGTATGGTAAAAATGTCTCATAGAATTCTTTTAAATGACATGTTTTTTTTACACAGTTGAAATGAACAGGCATTACTTGATAGATGTACTTGATTCACTGTTTATTTGTGGAAATGGTAGATTTTGAATCTTTTTTCGTCTGAACGTGTGTGTTGAGAACAAGAAGTTAACACAAATTAAGTTTCTCAAAATGTGAAGCTACTGGTTCTCAACACATCCTCCCATTTAGGTCTATACATTTCTGAAGGCAGTGTTTCCATTTCTCTAACCCTTCCCTGAAGAATTTTGTACTTTTTTTTTTTTTTTAAACACCACCTCAAAATAGCAGTTTTAGCATCCTTGAGGGACTCAAATCGTGCTTCTTTTAGTTTTTGGAGAACAAAAAGATTCAAATCATGTTCCTTTAAAGCATTTTTAGAGTTTGGGGAACAAAAAGCAGTCCAAAGGGGCAAGATGAGCACTGTGGAGTGGATGGGATAAGGTTTCCCATTGCACTGTTCCCACGACAGCTCTTGCTACCTTCAAAGAATGAACAGGTGTGTTGTGATGCACAAGCATTCCTTATAGCATACCTTTCCCAGACTTTTTCTTACCAGTGTAGCTTTCAATTTTCTAAAAACGTCTTCAGGGTAAGCCTCCGTGATGGTCTGTGTCCTTAAGAAAATCTATCAAGATTATTCCTTTGGGAACCCATGAGAAAACAGATATCACCTGAACTGATTTCTCTACACTGACTGTAACTGGTCCAGCAGATCTCTTCAGAAGCCACTGTTCTGAATGGACCTTGTTCTCTGGATATCTTGGATTAGCAAATCCAAGACATGTCCGATTACAATTTGTTTCATTAAATTTACATCACAGTTTCTATCTTGCTTGAAAACTGAACGGAAAGATGAGCTCTTTGAACTCGTTGGTCTTCCTGCAACAGCTTTGGCACCCACTGAGCTGAGAGCTTGCTGAGGCCAAGATGTTTGGTCAAAATAGCAAACAATGAACCATGTGAGAGAGCAACTTCAGAATCTATCACATCAATGGCAATTCTATGGTCTTCTACTACAAGTTTCTGGACTTTAGCCACAGTTTCATTTGTTCAGGTTGAAGGTCTTCCTCTCTGGGATCATCTTTGATATTTTCAAGACATTCCTTAAAATGCCGGATACATTGAAAAACTTTCCTTTTATGTTGTAAATTTGTTACCAAAATTCAATGATTTGGGAAGATACCCACTTCAGTTTTGGCACAAAATACAATACAAGGCTAATACAAAAATCTGGCGTTAGCCCTGACCTCAACATCATTTTTATCCCATGGCATACAAAATAATAACTTTTTTTTTTTTTTTTTTGACGCACAATCATGAGACTAAGCCAAATATATTGCTGAGAGAACTTGTCACCTATTGATAGCAGACATGTTTAATTAAACAAGATGTTTTATTTGAAATACACCCATGCATGCACAAACTGTAACCCTAGTAGCAATGCTGTTTACTTACCCTTGCAAAATTTGCCTTATTGAAGAAGTCTAAGATTACTAAAATAATTATGCTACTATGAAGCAATGCCAGTTTTTCTTAAGTAATCACAAAAATTTGGTCTTAAATAAATAAAATTTATATAATGTTCTGTGCATTGATAAATTGAGCAAACTTACTTTTTAGGGTACAACAAAGGCTTTAAAATTTCCTTTGTTCACATGGAGCCCAAGTTTTTAGGCTCTATGAACTGCTAATATACGCAATGTTTTAAGTTAAATTGCATAGGAAAAAAATGACTTGCCTCCAGTGATAAATTAAGCAGCAGCATAGGGTACCAATTTACTCGTGAAGACAGCTACCACTGAAACTTCAAACTAATCTTCATTTCAATAAAATCTAAGTAATTAATAATGACACTTTGAGAGTGAGCTCAAAGTGAGAATCTAAAACAATTTTTGATGATGATTTTCTAAATACTCGTATAACTGGTGTAAATATATCGGAAGCACTTATCCTCTTATCTTCAACAATATTACTAGAATTGTAGGTTTTACAAAGGTCTCCCAGAGTTAATCCAAAGCATTTTCCCCTTTCTAGATTTCGTTTTCATTCTAAAAAGGAAGAACGATGCAAAGGGTTCCAATAAGCTACTTACTCAATTGCTAGGCTTCGATTTCCTCACACCTGTAAAATATGGACCAGCTCTAAATTTCTTTGATTCTACCTAAAGTATCCTATTCTGTTATGCAAAATCCTGTGCAATATGGGTACAAATTTTCAATGTTTGGCTTATTGCATTATACAAGGGAGTTTCAAAATGTTCATGGAAAAAGGAAATTAAGATAATGGTATTTTTCCATGAACTTTTTGAAGCTCCCTCCTATGCATTTTTCTTGATGCAATGGTTGCTCTCCTTGCTATGCACATTTACTAAGACATTTAAAAGTTCAAGCTGTATTTAATATATACATATATATATATTCATGGACAAAACAAACATTTACTTGTCTGGCAAAGATTAGTGGTCTATGCATAAGGCAACTGTTGTGCCAATGAGTTGATTCTGACTCATAACGACCGTGCATAGGGTTTCCGGTGAGAAATTGGTGTGTAGAACCGCAGTTCAGTGTTTATTCTATAGCACTACACCAGGACTCCATGTGTTAATGACATGACTATTACTGATAAATAGATATTCTCGATGGCAAATTAACAGATTTAGTCTAATTCTATTCTCAGAAAGTATAAGGGAAAGAAACTCCTGTTTAATTAACTTCAATATACTAAGCAAATGTTGATTGTTTTACTGAGAAATGACTAAGGGAGAATACTGATCAATACCATTTCAATGATATAACTCCTTAATCTATGATGGAAATCAAATGAGTATTCTTTTCTTTTGGTTTATTAAGGTTAATAATCCTATCTTCCAGTAATACTTCAAAATTATTCTAATTTCCTTAATTCAAGGCCTCCTGTACTATCTGGATAGATAGTCCCTAAAAATAGGAGTCCCTTAGTCCCTAAAAATAGGAGTCATAGAACACAAAGTGGAATTGAGAATGTAGGCTTAAAAAAAGATGGACTGTTTCTATTGTAGTTGGAAATTTTATGTACATTTTGCCATGATATAGTAACTAATTCCTTTTAAAAATACCTAGATTCAAGACATTTGAACACTCTTGGATTATGTGACTAAGCAGGTAACTGATACAGATATGCTGATGTCTGCCGTAAAGTACTCCCAACTGTAAAAAGCTTCATGGTAATAACAATCATCCTATTGATTTGCATTCATCTCCAGTCCACTTTGTCAAAGATAGTTGGTCACCTTCCTTCATCTAGATGTTTTACACTGCATGATGTTGTTGTTGTTATGTGCCGTGGAGTCAGTTCCGACTCATAGTGACCCTGTACAGGGTTTCCGAGGCTGCAAATCTTTACGGGAGCAGAAATCTCATCTTTCTCCTGCGGAACAGCTGGTAGTTTCAAACTACTGACCCTGAGGTTTGCAGCCCGATTCGTAACCACTACGCTACCTGAGCTCCTTGCATAGTTCACTTTTTCTTAAATGTAATACTGTATATTTTCTTTCAAACTTTAATAAATACTACGTTGAATAAGCATACATATTGTACAAGGGGGCTTCAAAAACTTCATAGAATAGTTTCCTATCGTTTCATTCCATTTCTGTGAACTATTGAAGGAGCTCTTGTGTGGCACTGTAATTATGATAAGCACTAGACTGTTCAAATCCACCAGCAGCTCCTTGGAAACCCTAAACAGATTACTATGGAGTTGAAACCTACTCGACAGCACTTAGCAACAACAATATATTTCCCAGTTGTAGTGTAAAATAATACTTTGTAAGCTAGTTACTCATTGAGGTCATTCAAAAGTTAAAGATACATGAAAGAAACATCTTCAAATAATTTAGAAAATAGCTTAGTTAAACACCTTTTAGAATTAAAGGTATTAAAATAGAACAAGATGAGAATGATGGGGAAATAGTTTTTTCACATGCAATAGCATATCTAGATATACCTAATTTTATATAAAGCAGAAATTTATAAAAATCACATGTAACTTTTATTTTCAAGTCAAATTATATTTTTATTGAATTAATAGCTGATAAAAGAAATTCTATGTTAATTTTAATAGGTCAAGATTACTATATGGTTTACTTCTCAAATTATTAATATAGTAGCAATTAGAATTTGCTCAGTATGTCTCATGGTACAAATTTCCTCACTATAGCCAGTCTAACTCATAACAGTATTATGAAAATTACTATTACCTTTATGAACTACTCTAGGAGTTAGCAAACTACAACGAGTCAAATCCAGTCCACTGCCTTTTTTTAATTAACAAAATTTTATTCAATCATTCATTTACATATTATCGAGGTTGTTTCCATAATATGATGGAGGAGATTGAGGAGTTGCAAGACTGTCCATGTGTATTTTCTATCAAGGGTCTCATCAGAAAGGAACTTAGAGACGTAAAGTCACTATTAATGACTGCCAATTTAGTACTTTTTAAAATATAAAGATAAAACAAATTTAAGACTATTAAATATTTCTGATATTTAAATCAATCAGACTTTGTATAATATCAAAATGTTTTCCTTGAAATTCGCCTCATTTACTAAAATAGTTTCTACATAGAAAATTTCTTAATATGTTAGAATGTAACAAAAAACTTGAATTTTTAAAAAAAATACCACTTTAAATTTACACCTTGACTTTTCACCAGATGTTTAACATTTTTATAATTATAACATTTATTTAAAAAATGAAACTGTCTTAGTGGATCATATTTGATCAGAACATTCAAGAAGGAACTTTTTGCACATCAAAATCTTGGATAAAGAAACAAATGACTCACAACAACAACATACATAACAGTGGATGAAATTTCCTGTCAAAAGCAATGCAATACACTTTTAAATAGCCCACTTTTTATCCCCGAACTAAATCTGATTTTCTCTAAATTGTGTAACTTTGTAATACTTTGTGTTTGTCCCTATCGTCTCTGCAAAAACAAATTTTGATTACTTTTTTTTTTTACCTTGAGATCACGGTATACAATCTTTCCGGAATGTAGATAGTCCAAAGCAGAGACAATTTCTGCACCATAGAAACGTGTGCGGTCCTCAGAGAACACCCGCTCTCTCGACAAATGGAAAAACAGCTGCAGGGTAAACAGCAGGGACAGGATTGTAATAATTACTGATTTAGTGGGGGAAATTAACACAAACATAAAACACCTCTCATCACCATATTGTGATGATAGATAGTGTACTCTCAGTGGACACTGAGCACTCTTAGACAGCAGCTGGCTTATCTTTTCCAGGTTTCCAAGGGGAGACTGTGAGCGGTTAAATCAGCGTTTTAATCAATATACCAATCTTGTTTAAGGCATTCTGCTTGCTACCCATTTAACCTTCAGTTACCAGAGGAAAAAAGTATGCATCATCAGATTGTGTTTCCTCCATCCTATATTGCCTGCTGCTTCACTCTTTCAACTATTTGGTGTTGAGACCTATTATTAAGTGAACACAAGCATAACCGTAATGTCTTTACTTCAATTCCATTTGATTTCCAAGAAAGGACTGGTGATTAATTTGAAAGTGATTATGTGAACTTATAATATTCTTAACTATTGATTCATCACAAAATCTTTTCAAAGATCAAATCATTGTTTTCCATGGAGAGAAATTGCAAAGCTTTGGATTTGTATTTTTCTTAATGTCTCAAATGGAAACTGTGTCCATTACAGTTCTTCAATGCTCTATTATCTTCCTAGTTCCAATATTAATTAATTGTGCCTCTAACCTTTACTCATACAGCCGCTTAAAAGCCTAAGATTAACCATGTTCTGGGTAACCACTTAAAAGATAAGCCATTCAACAGCCAACAAGTATTATTGGGTGCTCATCATGACCAAGCACCCAGCTATTCATGTAGACCAGCTCTTTAATGAACAGACTGCTATCTCATCTTCTAGTCCAACAATGTACATGAGGAGGAGTGGGTTTTGGCGCTGGAACTCACTACTGACCTTTGTTGTACTATTTCACTCTATGAAGATATATGCCAGGGATAGCAAATGATGTTTACAGTGCTGAGTACATTGTGGGCCACCATGGCCAATACATAATACACATGATTGATGAAATGAGTCAGTAAGTCATGCACCATTGACTGCAAAATCAAAATTTCATTACATCTTCCATGGACCACTTGATGACTCTTTATGCTTCTACAATGTCTCAAAAATCTTGCTTAACCAAGGTTTGTTCTATATACACCAAACCAAGAAACATAACATTTTTCAAGACACATAAAATAGGTGCTATCCCACATATTCTTCCTTCCCTGTTTCCATATGTGGAACTATCTTTCAATGTTTTCAAATATGTTTTATGCATGATGCATTGGCACAGTGAGAGAGAGAAAATGAATAATCTATTACCAAAAAGATTGGTTCAACATTAATTCTATCACTGCTAAAGTATATGGCAGATAGACTCTACATTTTAATTATCTCTAGAAAACTGTCATATTAATAAAATCTAAAATGGTATCAATTAGTACTACATCATTTATGTAACATGAAGAAAATAAAGGATGCCAAAACTACCACACACCAATTTATTAAAATCACTCTGATTACAAAAATGTTAAATGTGTCTTACAAATTATCAGATAAAAGTATATCAAAACTCAAATAAATTTACTGAATTACTCAGGGATATTTTTCAAAATTCATTCATTTTATAGAGACAAAATTCTTAGAGACTCTAGTAGATCTGCCCAATAGAGTTTCCAAGGCTGTAAATCTTTATGGAAGCAGACTGCAACAATTTTATCCTGTGGAGTGGCTGGTGGGCTTGAACTGCTGACCTTCTGGTCAGCAGCCAAGTACTTTAAGTATACTGCACTACTAGAGTTCCTTTTATATAGACAGATGTATAGTACTAATGCATGAACAGCCAAATGAGGACAGGACAAAGATGAACATGAATTATCAGTAAAACTGCTCGAGGAAATTTCCCCAGGTCAAAATAATTTCTACCATGCTTTATACAAACTATCACTAATGGATTAAGGACCCGTCATGGGGATTACATCTCAATGTAAAAATCCTTACCACTGGACCAATAAACAACATTCTTATCAATGGAGAAAAGATTGAAGTTGTCAAGGACTTCATTCTTCTTGGATCAACTATCAACTCATGGAAGCAGCAGTCAAGAAATCAAATGATGTATTGCATTAGGCAAATGTGCTGCACAAGACCTTTTTAAAGTGTTGGAGGGCAAAGATGTTAGCTTGAGGACTAAGGTACACCTGACACAAGCCATGGTATTTTCAATAACCTCATATGCATGTGAAAGTTGGACAGTGAATAAAGAAGACTGTAGAAGAATTGATGCTTTTGAGTTATGGTTTTGGAGGAGAATATTGAAAGTGCCATAGGCTGCCAAAAGAACCAATAGATCTGTTTTGGAAGAAGTGCAGCCACAGTGCTCCTTAGAGGCCAAGGTGGCCAAACTTCGTCTCTCATACTTTGGACATATTGTCAGGAGAGACTAGTAACTGGAGAAGGATATCATGTTTGGTAAGGTCAGAGAAAAAGAGGAAGACCTCCACGAGATGGATTGGCCAAGTGGCAGCATTAATGGACTCCATGGCAACAATAGTGAGGTTGGCCCAGGATCGGGCAGTGTTTCATTCTGCTATGCATAAGGTTGATATTGGTGGGTACCAACTCGATGGCACCTAACAACAACAACAACAACATGGGAATTTATGGAGGCCTGGTATGGCACTGTAGAAGAAGTACTCAACTGAAAGATTGATTTGAACTGTAAGGTCAGTGGTTCAAACTCACCAGTTGCTCCTTGGAAACCCTATACAGGGTCACTATGAGTCAGAACTGACTCGATGGCACTTAACAACTACAACAATGCAGATTTATGGAAATCTTCTAAGAAGTTTAAAACAGTATTAGGTTTCTAAATTTTATTAATGTATTGTTAAGTTTACTACTCATTTGTCTACAAAGTGCATGGATTCTTACAAAATCAATAAAATACTGCAAGATTCTAGATCTTTATTTAGGCCATGAATCCTCAATTTGTCTGCCAGATAATTTCTATGAAAATATAAGCTAAAAATTAGGTTTCAGGAAAGAACTCTTTCTCATTACGCTGCTGACATTTGTCCTACTATTTTATGGAACTTACTCTTGTTAAGAAAATAAAAACTTCCTAATTGCCAAATTCATGGATTTATTTCCAGTCTCCACCCCTACTTCCTGTCCTGAAGCTTGGGGCATCACTAATTCCACTCTTGAAACAAATTCCTTCGCTTTGTCTTCCCTGATTTTCTTCCTAAGTCTATACTCCTCCTCAACTTTAAGCTCGAACCAACTTTCTACTTCAGTACTCATTCAGTAAGCGTTAAGTATTTTTAAAATTATTGCACTAGGCATGGGAAGGAAAAAAGGGGATACAGCCGTGATTAAGACATAATCCATGCCCACAAGGAATTCCACCCAAAGAAAGATGCACATGCTTAAATAAAAAGGGTACTGTGATAACATTCTGTAATTAAGATATTAAAAATGTTTTGGAGTCCAAGTGAGATTAATCTTCACTGGAATCATTTCAGGCAACTTCACAAAAAAGGTAATAAATATATCTCATTTAACTTTTAAAAGATGGAGTTTTCAGAAATGGAGAAGGTAAAATACAAAAGTACAAAGGACTGCTAACTCAAGTCTTTATTCATTTGTTACTAACAGAGCCTAGCAGAGTACATGCACATAGTAAATAATCAAAAAATGTTTGTAAGACAGAACTAATTTTAACAAACGAAACAGGAATGGTAAAGGAAGCATCCAGAGAATACACATTGTATGTAACTGAAGAACAGAATGCATTGAGGGTGATTGAGATGAGGCCAGACTGCTTAGGATTGTAGTTGTCATGAAAATGAGTTTGAAATCTATTCTGTAGAGAAGTAAGCATCAGGAAGCTTGGTGTTAAAAATAAAAATATAAAACAAAATTCTGGCATCATTTTAAAAGGACATTTCTGGCAGCAACTGGAAGATCACTAAAATGATCTAAAACTACAGACTGATAAGTGCCGTCGAGTCAGTTCCAATTCATAGCAACCCTGTATAGGGATTCCGAGGAGAGGTTGGTGAGTTTGAACCGCCAAACCTGCAGTTCAAATGACCTTGCTATCCTACAGCGCTACAGCAGGATTCTTGAAGTAAACAATTTATCAAGTGCAACTAAAATAGAGTTAATGAGAACCTATTCGGTGATAGCTGTGGAATTACCCAAGAAAACTAGTCCGCAACAATTGGGCCAAGGGTGAGTGCAACATTGTTGAGGTTTCCCTACAGCTGACTGAGTAGATGTATCTGCCAAGGGGTCAAGGAAAAGAAAGGGGGTGGGGATAAAGAGGAGCAATGAATTTTATTTTGAAAAATGGATAAAACAGCCTTACAACCATGGACCACAAGGGTATAGAACTACACATGGAGTTATTTATATAGTTGTTGTTGTTGTAGTAGTTAAATGCTGTCCAGTTGGTTGCAACTCATAGCGACCCTGTTTCTAAGGAGCTGCTGGTGAGCTTGAGCCACTGACCTTGCAGTTCAAAGGGCTTTGCAGTCTGGCACATTAACCCATGCAGCACCACACCAGGACTCCATATACATAGTAGTTGTTAAGTGCCCTCAAGTTAGCTCCCACTCATAAGTGACCCTGTATAGGGTTTCCAAGGGTTTGAAGTGCTAACTTGTGCTAGCAGTCAAGTGCTTATCCTAAAGTGCCACACTAGGACTCTTCTTTATATAGAGGACATTATTAAAACCAACAAACCACATATAGCCAGTAAGTCAGTAAAAACTGAGAAGACAGCTAAGGTCCAAATCTAAGGGTAGTACTACACTTAAGGACAGGAAAAAATAAACGAGGCACAATTATTTATGATTTTTTGGGGGACAGTTCTTAAAAACAAAATTCAGAAGGAAAGAAGAACACAGTATTTAAGATGAACAAGAACAAGCAAGTTTCAGGAAAGAAGTACAGTTTATTGGATTTATTTGGAATTTGTCACCTTTTGGGGAAAAAATATCATATAGGAAGTAAATATGAGGTCAAAGTAG